GGCCGGGGCCCCCCACCAAGAAGCTGCTGGGCAGGTTGCTCCCTGGCAGGTCCCGGCACCAGGAAGTCCCGGGGCCTCCACACCTGCCGCAGCTGCAAACGCCGCCAGCAGGTAGGTGGGCTCGCCCTTCCTGGTCCTGGCAGCTCGTGGGGACCTGTCCCGGGGTTCTGGGGAGGAACCAGGTGGGCAGCCTGCAGGACGGGGCCAGGGCACCGAGGGCGCCCAGTCACCTTCCTTCCCGAGGCCCCGGATTCGAGGTTTCCAGGCCGTGGGACATTCTGCTCCCCCACCCCCCGCCCCCTGTCCCAGAGCAAGTCTAAGTAAAAGCACGTGTCTCCTCTGCCCAGCAGCCGTGTGGGGACCCCACTGGGGACCAGGCCTTAGAGCAGGAGAGAGACTCTTCTCCACTCGTGAGGGTTCTTAGCCGAGGGGCGGGGACATGCCCTGAGGGGTTCATTTGTTTGTGTGACTGTTTTTTTGTTTTGTTTTGTTTTTATTTCAGAGAGGAAGGGAGAGGGAGAGAGAGAGATAGAAACATCAAAGATGAGAGAGAATCATGGATCGGCTGCCTCCTGCACGTCCCCTACTGGGGATTTAGCCCACAACCCAGGCATGTGCCCTGACCGGGCATCGAACCATGACCTCCTGGTTCATAGGCCGACGTTCAGCCACTGAGCCACGCGGACCAGGCTGTGCGACTGTTTCAAATCAGACAGTCTGTCCCATTGCAGACCTAACTGAGTGCGGCCATGCCTATGTGTTCACAGTAGAAGGGAATGCGGTCACACTCCTACGGTTCAAGGCCCCACAAGTCAGTTACAGGCCGCCACTCTCTCCCGCCTTCCATGACTCAGCGCCCTCATCCTCAATGTCGTTCATTTTTGTTCTGTCCCTCAGAGCATTTCCCGGGAGGAAGGAAGTCGGGGGAGGGACGAGGAGGATGTCCCCAGCTGACTCAGCTCCCACACAGATGTCATCTTCCATTAAGTCCCACACATCTGCTTAGGTCTCAGTAGTTGGACCTTGAGTCGCATAGTCACACCTAGCTGCAAGGGAGGCGGGGAATTGTAGTCACATGGTCACACCTAGCTGCCAGGGAGGCAGGGAATTGTAGTCACATGGTCACATCTAGCTGCCAGGGAGGCAGGGAATTGTCGTCTTTAGCTGGTCATGTGACTCTCCGTCCAAAATTGGATTTTTGTTTCTAAAAGAGAAGAGGGGGCGGGCATTGACTAGAGAACTAGGATTCTGGTCCATCTGCCTTCTAAAGCTTCTGATATTATTTGAGGGAAAAGGAAATTCAATAAACATGGTTTGAGGATTTGCTTCATTTTCCCATTGAAGTAACTAGCAAGGTCCTGGGTTGAATGGCAGAGTAGCAGAGAAGAAGCCGAAGTCTCCAAGGGAATCTTGAGTCAGTGAGCCTGTGTCGACATTTACGTTTCCACCCGGTTTGGATGCTGGTAACAGGCAGCCGTTCTGGGCAACTGAGTCACGGATTTGCTGAAAGGATTGCGGGTCCGACAGCACAGTGGTGTCAGCCTCCTGTCCAGGCCCGAGCTCACAGGTCACTGAGTGTCCGTCACCCTAATGGATCGGGAGGCAGCATCTCTAGCGGCAGGGCTCTGACGCCACCGTGGGGGTGCGACCTGCGCCCCCTCATGTAAACCCCCTGGGCTCTGTCTCCTGGACGGAGTGGCCTCCCAGCACTGGCCGCCCCGCTTCTCAGCCATTGTGCCTGCCGAGCCCCACCCCCACTCTCCCCCGTTTCTTCAAGGCCTCCCGGGCCCCCCACCGCCCGCCTTCCCACTCTGTGATGTCTGTGTGCGTGTTCCTTTTCCCTTCTGCAGCCGTGCGCTTGACAGATTCCTACGATGCTTGAAAAACCAGCTCAAAACTCAGGTGGAGTAAAAGTCCCCCTGACCTCTGACCTCTAACCTCCCTAGGAGTTGTGACTCGTGCTTACTGTTCATCATAAAAGACTAGCTCCACTTTGCTCAGCCTACCCCCTGCTCAGTCTCC